AAAACTAATTAATAAATATTCGCCGTGTTATGGTTGTCGACTTCGACACCCTAATAAAAGGAATAAGTGCCAAAATTTTCTGGAAAAAAACACGAAAGATTTGTAATTTATTATTTTTTTCCTTGTTAATGATTGGTTTTTTTTCATAAAAATTAAAATATCTTAGGAAAATGGCCTGATCTGGAAAAACGGTATAAAGACCCGTAATCTACGACACAATCTTAAGTTCACGTGATTTTCCTTACAGTATAATTATTTCCGTAGAGCGAAAAACTAAAACTCAATAATAATTATTATTGTTAAACGAAAAAAATAAAAAACATAAAATATTGATTAAATTCTGATTTAAATTATTTTACTCATAATAATTACCGTCTCTGGTAAAAAGCCTTCAGCAAAAACACACTAATGAAAATCAAAGTGATTTTTCAGTTTCTTAAAACGTGTACTAAATTTTAAAACTATAAAAACGCATATTCAAAACTTTTCTATTAAAAAGTTCGAAATTTTGATGAGTATTTATTGAATTTTTCTAAATTTTGTAAAATTGATTTATATGGTTTTGGTTAAAGGGTGAACAGTTTTATCTTGAACAACATTGTGAATAATCAAAAAAAAACAAATAACATGTGAACACTTGTTAGAGTCACTGTATATACAGTATTTCCTGCTTATATACCCCCGCTTACAAGCGCTGCCCGCTTTTTACCGTCGATTTTACCCCTTTTGAGATTTCTCCATATAAAAACGTTTCTATTTCCGCGCTTATATGATTTTCCGTTTAAAAGCACCAGTACAATAGTGTGGTTACAAAGCACCCAACTTTCTGACGCCGAAATTTTACAAGAGATATTAAATCCGTCTTCGGATGAATCCGAAGATGAAGCTGAAGAGATATTATCAGAAAAATTGCCAACTACGAAAGAACAACTTCATGCAATTAACATTTTAAGTTAAGTTTAAGTTGTGCATTTTTGATGACGCTTATAAGCGGGAAGTACTGTACGTATTTATATAAGTGAGTTACTCAGATGAGATGAGGACTGTCTTTCGTGACAAATTCTAATATCTCGAAAACGAGAAGAGCTAGCGAAAAAAATTCAATAGCTTTTTAAGGCTTTTGAGATTGAGAATTCGGGAAGAATAGTATGACTTTCAAATGGAGGGGATTTAAATTTTTTCCCTTTTTTGAGCTGAAAAGTTTTAACCACACATTTTTGCTGCTCTTCCCTGCAGGGAAACCGCGGATTAGTGAATCCAATTTCTAGTTCCGTACTAGGTCTTTGTCGCCAAAAAGGAACTAGGCCGATAGGAACTAGATCCCCACCAGTCCAAAATCGGCGAAAAGTGGGACTTATAAAAAACAAATTTTTTCAGTTTTTTTCACTAGAAATCTATATCTAAAGTGACGAATTTAGAAATGGTTCGGAATTATAGAAAAAGGGATGCAGAACGAACTAGATCTTATTTGTCGAATTTAGAACTAGTTCGGAACTATCGAATAAGGGATGCAGCGGGGGGCTTGTTTACTTTACATAGATATGTGTTCGGTGGCTTTTTCGTTCAGATACGCTTCTATTCTGTGCTTCGCAGATGCTTTTTCATAGCTTGGTAATACAAAACTAAAATTTGTGTTAACATTTCAACATTTTGGGACCNGTCAAGGAATCTGTTTACATTTTTTTTTATGAAATCACGTGGATGAGCACATGGAATTTACTTTTTAGCACACCTACGCAGTAACAGCTTCTCAAAATTCGACAGTCATCAAAATTTACCAAGTCGTTTAAGTTACAGTTCTTTTTACTTATTTCGCTTTTGGCACTTTTATCTGGAAATTGCCACATATTTTCTTTTCTATTTCGGCGCAGGCTTAAGTTTTCCAACTCGAAATTTTAGGGCGTGTTATCAGAAGATACGCGGTGGTGTAGTGATTGGAAGAGCTCACTATCATTCCGCAGGGATTGGAATAAAGCCGAGTTTCCGACTAACATCAAAAACCAAAGAAAAAAAAATATTGTAATAACGGTCGCAATGATAAACCTCCAAGTGTATTTCTGCCATGAAAAACAGCTTTTCATAAAAATATAATCGCCGTTTTTATGCAGATTACTATAACCTATAGCCTCCATACAACTTATTCTTCAAATATGGGGTTTTACTTTAAAACTCCTAAAACCGAGAGCTCTTTTATATTAAACCGTGCAAAGACTAGTGAGAAAGTCGTCAAGATCGGTGCTCTACAAGCTACAAGTTTTTGCGATATAAGTCCTTTATGTAAGCAGCTAAATCAATGATATTGTGCGCTATGTTTACTTATCAATTATACAAAGCCAACTGTGAAAATCATTTAGATCGATGCTTTATGAAGTACATAGTCAATACCACCGACTATTCAGACATGAATTTTTGTTATATAACTCCTCTATCTATGTATATGTGTAGTTAAGTTAAAAAAAAAATTGTTAAGCTCCCAAACAACTAACTAATAATGGAGTAATAAGTTAAGGTAAAATTTTCTGATGTTCATGAAAGGTATGAAGCCTTCGGTTTAGCCGAAGACAGTATTGTCGTTACTTGTTTTAGTATTAGCCTAGATGCTGAACAGAATTAATAAATTAAGATAAATAAAAATGAAGATTAATAAATCTATTCTTGGTTCAAAATCTTCAGTATGTGCATTTCGATATTTATTGTTAAAGCTACTATGAAAGTTCCTAAAGAGTTTCTCAGAGAAATTCAGATAGGAGGTTTTTGGGTTCCTAGCACCACGTCCAAGGAAAGAAGTTGGCACAAGTAACCCCAAGCATATATTTTAATAAGGCTACCGTTAAAAAGAGTTATGTTCGATGCACTTTCTGTAAGTAGAAGTGAAATTAGAAATCTTCATAAAGGTACTTTATTGTCTGACTGCAACCAGGCCCTCAAAGAGAAGGAAGAGTTTGACTGAAACCACTATACTGCGCTTGGAGCTTTATATCAATACCCTCCACAGCATGCAGGTTAGTGTGCTTGTCGCGATAGTTGCCACCACGTACATATGTACATATATTGACTTTGTGTAAAACTTGATGTTGATTACTTAGTTCAATCCTAAGATTTTTTCCAATTCGCGGTTTCACAGTTAATGGATGGTTAAATTCAAAATAATTCACACATTAATTGAAATATGTTTTACAATAAAGATATTTTTGAAAAGGGTTGCCACTTGTTTTTAAAGTCAAATTCAAATAAATTATTACTCAAGTTATGGGATATATTTCAAAACTGGTGTCCAAAGCAAGATTTTTAAGAACCGCCACTATAACACAAATTTTTTAGTTTTTGTGTATTTTTCTAGCACTTAAAATCGAATTTCTGTAGCACATTTTGCGGCGCACTATAAATCACAACAATGATGAGCTCAGTTTTGTGACTCTATTAGAATAGAGGAGTTAGTTTAAAAGTAGTTAAGAAATTAAATGCCTTTCAGCTTGAAACGCCGCACAGTGGAATATTTCTGTATCAAATATGGCAAAAGGTACCCATTGTGCTCCGATTTTACTTTATTTTTTCACTTGTAGTATTTTGGCTTAGGAATAAAGAGAAGTAAAAAATCGCATATATTGGCAAACTGCCACACCCTCTACACTAATGGCGGGAATAGTAAATGTTATCCGGTTTTAACGATATTCGGTTTGTTTCTTAGTAACTCGGAAATATGGTTAAAATCGGCCCAATGACACGCCCACCAGTTATAAAAAATCCATTTATAAAAACCAAATTTTATTAAACTGGGATGCCTGCTCCTTAATGCTATGGGCGAGAAAATTCTCCAATCTATGCAATTTTTTGTACTTTTCATTCCTAGGCAAAGGTACTACAACGCAAATTTCAGTAAAATCGGATCTCAATTACTCCTTTATGTCACAGCTTATATGAGGATCTCCCAATATCCAGAGTCCTGTCTATGAAAGCCGATTAAGGCTAGCAGGTTCGAGCAGCTGAAACTTGTTTCAGTATTTTTCCAGGGTTTAATGAACCTTGTAATCATAATCATTAAAAAGGCTTTAAATTATAAAAATGTTCTCAACTCTGAAAGGACTAAGAAAAATTATTAAAACTCTTGTAAACTCTTGATTGTGGTATTAAAGATGAAAACAAATTTATCAAAAACCGATCGTTCAGTTACCAGTGTCGATTCTGTGAAATGCCCGTACGAATTTTTACGGAAAAATACGGTTGATAAAACACCGACGTCAAGTGCCCTTTGAATACTACTGGTGTCATGTCTTTGGTTTTGAGACGTTTAGGAATTGGATTTAGATTTGGATATTTTTTCTACCACTCTCAGACCACTGTGCGCCGCCAATTTCCAGTGATATTGCTTTTGGGATTACGATTACAGACATTGCGGAAGGGTATCCAAAAAGTCATTTTGACCGAAAAGTGGCGTTAGCAGCCACTTACTATTTATTATTTCTCTTAGAAAATTTCTACCCAAAACAACAAATTAATCAGGTGTTCATAAAACTTGTAACTTTTTGTTGGTTTTGCGTTTTCGTACTTTCTTCCATGTTTCTCTCATTAGGAGCAAATTTTGGCTTACTCTCAGAAATTTGATTACCGGCAAAGTTACTGGAAAGTTTCTTACTGGAAAGTACAAAAACTGAGCTAATAGCAATTGTCGCAGCGTAGTGCCAGATTGACTGGTCTAAGTATTACCTGGATGAAGTACTTTCCAATTGGCAGGCGATGCATTACGATTTTATCTTTGTAACAAAAGGTAACATCAGGCGCACTATCTTACTGCCATTTTCTAATTCTAAATATTCCACACATTATATTATATTTAGTTTGGTTAAACATATTATTTTATAAAAATATTTTTGGCTGTGTACTTATATATCCATTTTGTTTAATTTTTTTGTTTTGCTTTACTTACTTAACTACGTTCAATCTCAATTTTAATGTGTACTTAAAAACATATAACCATTTTGTTTTTTTTTTTTCTTATTCAGTTACTTGTGGTGGCGATATCTTCCTCACCGAAGATCGACGCATCGACTCACCCAACTACCCTCTGGAGTATCTCGCTGACAGGGAATGCATTTGGCGCATTACTGTGCCGGACAATCATCAAGTTGCGCTGAAATTTCAGTCATTCGAATTGGAAAATCATGATAACTGTGCTTACGATTATGTGGAAATTCGTGACGGCAACAGCAGTGATTCTCGGCTAATTGGCATCTACTGTGGATACTTATTGCCGCCAAATATCAAGTGAGTACAATGGAAAGAGTGCTACAATAGCAGCTAGAAACACTGATTAAATAAAACACATTAATTAGGGTTGTTCAGGATGTTGTGGAAATGGTGTTGCATTTGCATACTCGTTGCATTTGTAAATTCACAACAATAAAGTGCACGCGGTTGCCATGGCAGCAAGCATAAAACTTGCAAATGCAATTCCAACTGCAAATGCAAGACAATTTCCACAACATCCTGAACAGCCCTATTATTTCAAGTACATATTCTACACATACATACATACGTACACCCATAAGTACTCCGAGCCATTAACGCATTTCACGAATGAGCCTTATTTGTAATATTGGTATTTTATTATCCTTACAGGACCAATTTAAATCAAATGTATGTAAAGTTTGTATCAGACGGCTCGGTCCAGAAGGTTGGCTTTTCTGCGGTTTTCCTGCAGGAGTACGATGAATGCAAATTTTCCAATCATGGCTGCCAGCACGAATGCATCAATACATTGGGGAGCTATCAGTGCGCCTGTTTTGCCGGCTACGAGCTACAGGCCGATGGACGTTCCTGCGAAGGTTTGTTTACATTTGACATGAACACATATGTAGTATGCCTGTTTATTAATCAGCTGCGAAGCAGCAAATATTCTCACATACGTCCATATTGGGGTGGTCCTTAACAGATGTTCTACGTACAAAATAAAGGCATCTGCGAAAATTTCAAAATTAAAAAATAGGCGAGTTCATGAATTTGTATGAATAAGTTTCAATAATATGTCAAAGCAAGCAGCGGCCCCTAAAAGATTGTTTAAAATTTGGAAATTTTCGTGCATGTCTTTAGTTTGTACGTAGAACAAAATAAAAGCGTGCCCCCTACACAATTTAGGCATTCATATTTTTAACTATGACCCTAATGAACAGAATGTGTAATAGAGTGTCCCAGATAATAAAATAGAGTTTTACAATATATATTTTTGCACGATTGAGAGAATACAAAGGTTGCGTCGATCTCGGACCGCTATTCCTCTCTTAACGAATTTGACAGAATCGTTGTTTGCATGACGTCACATTGGTGCAACTTGTTTACATTTTTCCTTGCAAAATTTTTTCTTCTTCTTCCATTCTTGCTCACGTTTTGGCATTCCTCTCTCGCAATTGCACCAGTGTGACGTCACACAAAAGTTATTCTCAAAAATCCTCTCTGATCGGCGCAATATTGTATTCTATCATTCTTGATATTTTTGCACTATATTTTTTCCTTTTCGTATAAAACATAGGGGTTTCTCAAAGTCTTGAAAAGACCTTGTACGGTGCATTAGTTTTTACCATACAATCCGTGTAATCCGTTCACCGTGCAAGAGCTTTGCAAGACTCCGAGAATACCCCTCATGTATATTGCGACAGCATGACAATCACTCGTACCGACTTCAGGTTTCGGTTAAGTTGTACTGCGATTACTACACCCTTTTATATGTGGAATTCTGCTATGGTCCGACCGCAGCAAATCTGCGATATCGTTTTTTCTGGAGTGGGTTAGGAAAACCTTTCTTCAAAAACTTATACCTACATGTACCTTAAGCATCTCGATCTTTTGACAAATTCAGAAAATTTATCCAGTGAGTGGCTGCCCAGCTTCTTGGAGCCGCCAGTAATCTCAAGCGCTATCTTCATAGTGCAAGACTGGAAGTGCGTAACGGATTCTACTTCTTTCTTATATTTACAACCTCCACAGAAATCGTTATAGCGGTCAGTGTTTCGCTACACAGAGGGGAAAAAATATTAAACTCAAATAGAAACGTAATTGATCTTACTATAAACGTCAACGAAAGTACTGTATATTGGTAAATATTCTATTCAATTACGCGCATATTAAAATCACCGCCTTCGTTATAAAAAAGCATACGTGAAGTGAATAATCAAGACAAGAAAAAAAATAAAAATATTTAATTTGCATGTTGTCTGCAGTGGAATTCGAACCCTGACCATCTCTGGATATCAACAAATTGTGGCCAGTATCTTTGCATACTCAGCTACACCCAGACATATAAAATTGCGAATGTCATGCATATGAGTATCTTATACGGCGACGTTAAGTCTTCAATGACTTTGGGCTCAATTTACATGGAAGTCATTTATGATTTTTTCATACAAATGGTAATTTAGTCGTTGATGTCCTCTCTACAAATTCTACATATTCTCTCTCCCTACATATTCCCGTAAAAAGTTGTATTTTCCGTTCATCAAGCAATGGCCTGGGCAATAACGATGTCCTGCATGTGTCCAAATTAGTCCATCTGATGTTAGTAGCTACTTTGGACTTCTGTTCAACATATAAGGGCAGGAATTTTAGAAAGGGTCGTATGCCTGATTTCTATTCCCAAAGTCTTAGAAAAGGAAACTTTCTGGCGCACTTATCCGCTTTCTCATATCTCAAAGCAACTCTATGCTTTAATAGTTTGATAGAATTTTTAAATTACTAAAATAATATTCAGTTAGTTGTTACCGACCTGAGTATTTTGAACGCAGCTCAACTCTATGTATGTATATAGCAAAGCCGAGTTTTGAATCAATAACGTCTTCTTTGTCGTTGCGTCAAATGCGGGTGGGCAGTATATTACGTGGGGAACTTTGAAGTTGTGGCTAGTTTGCTAGTTTTGATCTCCTTTATCTGATTGTCAAAGCCTCTATGTTTAACCTCAACTATTCCGAAATTAGATGCAACCTGGTCCTAAGTCAAACAATGACAACCCAGCCAGCAAAAAATCCGAAAACCGATCCGAAAAAAGACAAGAACATGGATGAAGTGCGGATTTCCCCCCGTTTACTGATTCCATTTTCGGGTACTTTGACGATCGCTTTTCCCACTTAAGTGTGAGGCAGAAACGTATGTACAGACAACAGTATGTGAAACGGATACGTTTTGCATTCACTGCGATTAAGCTCTGGAAATAGTGTAGCAATTTCAAAACAAAATCTTCTCCAAAACTTTAAATTCAAATCGGCCCAGATTTCCATCATCCCACGTCAATAAAACTTTATACATAAATTTGCACGCTATTTTTATCAAACGGAAATATAGGAAATGTACATCGAATTTCGACAGAACAAAATTTCTCCGGATACCCTAATGTTTATATGTATGTAAATAGTGCGCGTGCATGGTATCCAATGTGTACGAGCTTAAACAGCGAACATAAATACATACATATGTTTACATACTTAATTATTGTTTATTGTCTGATATTAACAAATATTACCGTTATTTTACAGATGCGTGCGGCGGTATTATCAATGCCTCTACTCCCAACGGCACTCTCAATTCGCCGTCATATCCGGATATGTATCCCATATCGAAAGAGTGTGTGTGGGAGATTGTTGCGCCGCCCAGTCATGCAGTTTTCCTCAATTTCACACACTTCGATTTGGAAGGAACAAAATATCAATACACTGAGTGCAATTATGATTACCTGTTGGCTTATTCCAAGTTGCGCGATAGTCGTTTGAAGAAAATCGGCATTTATTGTGGACGAGAGTTGCCCCCCGTTCTGAAGTCCGAACATAATATATTACGTTTGGAGTTTTTTTCAGACAAGTCCATACAACACACAGGATTTTCGGCAAAGATTCTTATCGGTAAGTGGAATTTAACAATAATAGGCGTGTTTTATTTGACGACAAAATTAAGCTATTAGCTTATTTTGTATGGAAGACTTATCCAACATAATTATATTGGCTAAGTCTTCCATACAAATAAAGCTAATAGCTTAAATTTCTCGTCAAATAAAACACGCCTAATAATAAAAGATTGGCGCTTACGCGTATGTATGCTAGTGTTTGGCCGAGTTGAATTTAATCATCAGAATTTGGCGCTCAATTTTTAAGGTACATACATATAACAAAAACCTTCTAATGCTGACCCCCCATTGAAGAATCGTTAAAATTTGGTTCAGATCTTAAAATGTATTTATTGCGTTAACCAACCAACAAGCTTAAGAATTTTTTGGCCGGTAGCTCAATTAATACCAATATTAAAAAAAAAAGTTTTATGAATTTACTTATACATACATACGTAGGTAAAAGCAGAGAACTTAGATAGATAGAGAAGGTGCAAACTGAAAGTGGAAACTATTCGCGGACGAAAAATTAACAGCGTTAGAAAAGTTCAAGTCGGAATGTAAAAATTCTGTTGAATTTAATGTTGATAACATAATACAATGTTGAGCAACATGAAATGTGATGTTCTTTGTGAGCAAATAAACGAAAATATGGTAAATCTTCACATAATTTTCATTAATTTGTAATTTTTGTTAAATTTTTTATCTTGTTCTCCTTTTATGAAGATGCAAANATTAAAAAAAAATTAGCGCTATTTTTTATATTGCACTTGTTATATGCATAAAACCGCAAAACCCGTCGAAAATAACAAAAAAAATTAACTTAAAAAACATTGCAAATATTAAACAAAAAACAGCATGCACTCACTTTTGATTGCCAGTGTNACACTTGCAACAAATATAACATTATCATAACAGAAATTTACATTTTTCTCTGTTAACTCTTCTTGAAATGTTAATCGCGCTGTGGTGATATTCCATGGATTTATTTTTCAGCCAAACAATTTTACGTTCCAAAAATTTGCACCTTCTCTATCTATCTACGTTCTCTGGTAAAAGCCACTGCCACGCTTGCTAAGATCTACCCTGGCATTCAGTCAGCGGTCTCTAGTCACTAATAGTGACTTTTGGTGGTGAACTGGGATTTTGAGACTATTTGGTATTCAGTACGCTGTCTCACATCTCTAGTCTCAAAAAAAAGTCACTAATTTGTCAGCTGGCTAAGAGCAGGTCTCAAAAATAAAATTATGGAGAAAAAGTTAATTGCTTTCCATTTTAGGGCGTGTGTGAATGGGTAACAAAGTTCTATGGGGAAAGCTGTTGAATAATGTTTTTACTATGGTGAGACAGTTTTGCCAATCTGCTGTGTGAAATGAAATCTTTTTTGACAGCAGTAAATTTTTGATAACCGCAGATTTATTCGGAATAAACTATTACAAATTGAAGTGAAATTGATATTTTAAACACATCTAACATCACTGATTGCATTTCATCAATTTAAGCTTTTGTTTTACGAAAAATTACTCACAGCAACAGTCTTTGCGAGTGTCAAAATTTTCTATGCATTTGTCAAAAATTTCACTAGCCTCATGTGCTACTGAAATTTTATTCACCTCATAGTTGTCAAAAATTTACTTGCCGCAAACTTTGTTACCGATTCACACACGCCCTTACTAAAAAAAAACGCGAATATGAAGCGATCAAATTTGTTCAATAAGAATTTCGTTAGGAAATAAACCAAAATGCTTTAATATCATACAAATCATTTGAAAAAAAATTTTTTTTTTTTTTTAACATTAAAATCTAAAGATTATTAAAAAAATAAAACGAATGAAAAAAAACTAACCCGGACCCTCTCGACCGGCAGCCTAATGGTTTGACCACTCGGCCATTGCGACTCTTCGGGCGGCGCGGCAAAAGGCATACATAAACGCTATCAGTTGACTGTGTTTGTTTTCACCACACATTTTTGGTGAACTTTTTGTGACTCTCTCCTACTGAATAGCCAAATCACCTCAAGTCACAAAAATAGTCACTAATTGCTAATCTCAAATTTAGTGACTTGAGATGAGACTGAATTACTGAATCCCAGGGCTAGTATTGATAACTTGATGACTTAAAAACGCTGCCACACTCTAAGAATAATGGTTATTAATCGGGACTTAAGCACCTTCTTTTTTTCTTTTGTATAGCGAAATGCATATGTATTTAAGTTAACTTGAGTTAATATATAGTACAACAAAAAATTAAGAAACATTTTTTTCTAAAATATGTTTTTCCCGTGACAAATGGCATACTTATTTCTTAAGAAGCGAAACGTTTATAACTTCTCATCATTATTCCACTATTTTATTATACAGATTTGGATGAGTGCAGCATAAACAATGGAGGTTGCCAACATCACTGCCTCAACACTTTCGGCTCGTATAAGTGTACCTGTCGCAATGGTTACACTATTGACGAGAATCGACACAACTGCACCGAAACCAAATGTAAATTCGAAATTACAAGTCCAAAGGGGAGCATCTACAGTCCTAATTACCCGAACGATTATCCTCGAAATACCTATTGTTTTTGGCACTTCCGCACTGTACTCGGTCATCGTGTGCAGTTGACATTTCACGATTTCGAAATGGAAAATCATCAGGTGCGTGAATTTGGCGCAAAATTGTCGCAATCAATTTGCAATACATCTGACACTTAACTCATTCAACTTAAAACACACTAACATTTATCTTTTCTGTTTTGTATTTGTGTGTGTATAGGAGTGTTTTTACGATTATGTCGCATTATACGATGGTAAAACAGAAAACAGCTCAACTTTGGGCATCTACTGTGGTGGGCATGAACCTTATGCGGTGGTGGCATCTACAAATGAAATGTTTATGGTACTGTGGACAGATGCGTCACTTCAACGAAAAGGATTTAGAGCAACATATTCAACAGGTTAGCATTTGCAAAGTGACTAATGCAATATAAGTTAGTGGCTACATTAATTCAACAGGGCAACTCTGTCAACTATCTTTGAACTTGCCACAGTCTTTTGAAAGACATAAACCTTTTGTAAGGCAAGAGGCAATTCTGGCAGCTATCTTAAAAGCTCTATTTCATCAAATAACTGAGCTAAACATGAACTACTATTGATCGTATATATGGAATCACATATGTACAAGATGAGCTCATGTAGGTATATATATATCGTCGCCTGGGTAAAAGATTGTCGTATCTAGAGTCCGACCGATTCCCAATTTTTGGCCGATGAAAGCCGTTTTTTTTTCTGTTCGGAAAACTCGAGAGCAGCTGTACCGATATTTTTGAAATTTTGCAAATCGAATCTAGACTCTCCAAGGATGTTAATAGAAAAAATAAATGTATGTGAGGTGCCTCGCCCCTTAATATCGAAACTATTTTTCTTCTATTATCATTCTTGGATTCGGGATTCAATTTCCAAAATTTCAAAAATATCGGTACAGCTGTTCTCGAGTTTTTCGAACAGAAAAAAACGGCTTTCAAAATATATATTTGTATAGATAACAAATGAAATACATTTTTTAATTAAATGTATCCTATAGAAAATGGTTTATGAATAATTGCATACATTTTAAATTAATTTCAAAGATTTTACAAAAAAGCATTCAAACGTAAAAATTTGTTTCTTTAATTTTTCAACATAAATAAATAAAAACCCTGAGCTTTTTTTTAAAATCGCCATGGATAGATAGGTGCCATCTGAAACTCGGCTTTCTCAATTGACTTTTTTGGGACTATTTTTGACATTTAATGTTGTATTCGAGACTTTTTGAAACATTTTAGGTTAGGTAGTTCCTACAAATCTTCACTCTGATTAAGATACCTTCCGGTGCAGACCTCTATGTCTTACACAAACCTAAATATACATACATACTTATATCGGGAGCAACACCGAGATTAGAAATTCAAAGGAGGGTGGATTAGAATAGCTCAAATTTTGTATTAAATAACCCTTTTTCCCGTTTAAAATTAAAAATTATTCAAAATGCATTATATTTTATTAAGTTAGAAACTTTCTTTCAATTTCAGAATGTGGTGGTTACTTGCGGGCGACTAATCAAACGCAGGTCTTTTACTCACATCCACGCTATGGTCATCGTGTTTATAATCGTCATATGTACTGTAATTGGCGAATACAAGCTGATTCTGAAAGCAGTGTTCAAATTAAATTTTTGCACTTTGAAATCGAATATTCAGACCGCTGCGAATATGATTCAGTGGAAATTAGAGAAGAAATTTTTGAAGAAAAGTACATGCGAAATAGCAATCATGGTCGTTTTTGTGGCAATAGGGTAAGCAAAAAGCAAGATTTTACTTTCATAAAACATAGGGTAAGCAAAAAGCAAGATTTTACTTTCATAAAACATAGGGTAAGCAAAAAGCAAGATTTTACTTTCATAAAACATACAAACATACATACCTAACAGCTAAAAAGTACTAAACATTTTTCTCACATATTTTCAGAAACCACCCACAATTAAGTCATACACTGACACCTTACTCATGCGTTTTCAAACGGACGGCAGCACTTCATTGCGCGGCTTCGCCGTTTCCTTTGTAGCAGTAGAACCACCGGATGAGGACTTGATAGATGATTTAGATGCAGTGACGCCGTTTCCTGGTTATATGCGCAGCATGTACTATGCCTCGGATACGGGTAGCGATTATGATGATGATTAATATGTGGCAATAATTTAGCATGTATTGCTTGTTTGTTATTACTGATGTACAATTAGTCGGTTTATTAATGGAAATATAAGTCATTTTAATGTACTCATGATGTATTGTATATATTTATTTATGTATATAAGATTTTGTGCCGTGCCAATAAATGTAAAATTATTTGAAAAATTAAGTGACTGCGAAAATAGATAAAAAAAACTTAAAAAAAGAAATCCATTCAATTCAATTGTCTGTGTTTTGAGCAGTGTTGCCATTTTAGCCGTTTTCCGGCTAGAGTTAGCCGGTTGCGGTAGCAAACAGCCGGAGAAATTTCGATTTAGCCGGCAGCCGATTTGTTAGCCGTTTTGCAGAAAAAAATTAGCCGTTTTTAGCCGATTTTGCTATTTGCCTTGTTTTCTTAAATTTCAAATATGTATATTTGTTTCCATTTTTGACTAAGTGACCCAAAATCTGTTAGGAATGGTTACTAGCCTTATCGTGGAGAAAATTTGCATGTAAGGCAGGGTTGTATGAAATTGGGCCAATTTCGCTTATTTTTATTTTAAACCAATAAGGGATTTTCTTCATAAAATGTTTGTTATAAATGTCTGAATTTTGAGTGTGAAGTTTTATTCGCAAACTTGGAAAACAAGAAATTGTTTCACTGTTAAGACACTTAAGATGCGTTTGTGTTTGGATATAGTGCCAACAAACAGAATAAATATTACATGTAGATATTGTCTTCCCAGATAGCGCATATTCAATTCTGCCTAAATTACAAAACATCATTTTTGCCCACTCCCAAAGGTTTAAGGTAAGGGAAAAATTGATATTTTCAAGCACTATGTACACATATGTATTTTTTTAAACAAACTTTTTTGCTGAGAACTTATTTAAATTCCAAAAACCGAATGCCAACTTGAATTAAAGGAACCAACACTGAAGTGAGTCAAAATGAAAATAAAAGAGCACAAATTTCTATGTAAAGCAAAATTCTCTGGGAATCCTACGAGACATCTGCCGGTCATATGACCGGTCACCTAAATGGGAGATCTGCAGTCTTTTGGCATCATATTTTACATCAGAAGTGAAGGGATTTCTGAAAAATCTGACCAGTTCTTTTGTGTATTTGGGATTTTGCATCCCTTGTCAACATATGGCCTCGGTTGAAGTTAACTTAAGGTCGTTGTTTTACTGCCTTAAAATTGAAGGGAAATTTTTACAGCGTTTTTTATGTGTATTGGTTTCTATTTGAGTGTATTGAGAATCGGTCAGTCTGAAAAGGCCTTGTAGGGAAGACAATAGGTTTGTTCGTCGAAAATCCAGCGAGAATTATCACTCAAAATATCAAATGCTCCCAAATTTTCTCTCATGTAGAGAAACTTGCAATTTTCTGTACGAACGCAAATTTTCAAGTTTTTCTGCCAGCTCGTGTCCACGGTTGCATTTCAAACAAAAGAAATTTGTATAAAATTTTTAAAATTCTTTCAGAGGGGCAAAAAACAGGATCTACGTGTATATAACTTGTCAGTCCGACTTTCTTCAACATACGTTTCAATCTCTTTGTCGGGTTTACCATATACTCTGGTTGAGATTGCATTCCGATTAAGAATACAGTTTTTTTGCCGAGTACCTTGCAAATCATTGGAATTAACTAAATTAATTAAGTAACTTAACTTACATTTTTCGTTTTAAAATCGCTCCAGCTTGTAAATTTTTAAATTCAACGAACTTGTTTATTCAAATTATCGTCGACAAAAAATCCAACCATGTGCCACAATCATATATTTTTCGTGATTGCAAATTCTTGCTGGCAAATTTTTTTCGGCTCGAATTTGTAACTTCTCTCCAAGAAATAGTATTTTTACTCGTGATTTATTTAAATAAAACATGTGAAATTTAGTTGAAACATGTTAGCCGTTTTTAGCCGGTTTTATTTGCCAATTTAGCCGGTTCGTCCAAAAAGTTCTGGCAACACTGGTTTTGAGTTGAATAACCGTAAAAAAGGAACAGTCCAGCGCCTTCGTCTTGGTCTGGAGACTGTATCGGAGATACAGTCGCTAAATTTAAACGTAGAATACTTGGTATCGTTAAGAGCATATCCAAGTCAAAAACGAAAGCACACACTAAGAAAAAAATATCGATAAAAAATCGATAATAATATCGATAGCAAAATCGGTAAAAACATCGATAAAAAAATCGATGAAAATATCGTTATCAAACATCGATAACAAACTCGATAACTAAATCGATTATCAAATCTATCAAAAAATCGATTACAAAATCAATAACAAAGACGATAAAAAAATCGATTACAAAGTCGATAAATAAATCGATAACAAAGCAATAACAATATCGATAGAAAATCGATAAAAATATCGAGAACAAAAGCGATAACAATATCGATAGCAAAATTAATAAAAATATCTTTAACAAAACCGATAAAAATATTGATGACAAAATCGATAAAAATATCGACAACAAAATCGATAAAAAATCGATCACCAAATCGTAAAACAACCGATAACAAAATCAATAAAAAATGTCTATGACAAAATCGATAAAAATATCGATCCTTATATCGATAAGTCCCGAAAATATCGATGGCAAAATCAGTAACAATATCGATAACAAAAGCGATAATAATAGTGATAGCAAAATCATTAACACAATCAATAAAAATATCGATAACAAAAGCGGTAAAAATATCGATGACTAAATCGATTAAAATATCGACAACAAAATCTATAAAAATATCGACAACTAAATCTATAAAATAATCGATAACAAAGTCGATAACTAAATCGATTACAAAATCGATAACAAAATCAATAAAAATATCGGTAACAAAATCGATAAAAAAACATCGATAATAAAATCAATAAAAATATCGACCAATATATCGATAATTTCCGAAAATATCGATAGCAAAATTAATAAAAATATCGATAACAATTTCGATAACAAAATCAATAAAAATATCACTAACAAAACCGACAAAATATCGATTATTACATCGATAAATCCCGATAATCCCAAAAATCACTAAAATCCCGAAATAGTTCCCAGATTGAGTCTCTGTGTCTCTATCTTTATCCTTTTCTCTACAACTACCTTTATTTTAATCTTTCTTCCTCTATCTTCATCTATACTTTCATCAGTATCCTCATCCTCATCTTTTTCTTTATTATTAGTAGCTTGTGGAACAAACCTAATATATAAAATCTCTATTTTAAAATACAATTGCATTTATTTCGCTATCTCGTTCTCAAGATATTTGATTGTGTCACAAAACAAAGTTAATTTTGCACACTCTTGTTGTGGTCGAGGATATCGATCTCACCTGCGATTCAAATTGGCAGCATGATTACGCTCTCTAACTTCAGATTGAAGAATGAGTCGGTGCGTCTGAACCAAGATTAAATGAAAGGTTGCTGGACATTGGAAAGTCTTGCAAATTTTAAAAGTACATTGTTTCTAGCTTCTAAAAATTCAAAAATGAAAATCATTCATAGAGCGCATTTCGAGTAAAGTGACCAGGGCGAATTAATATAAGGTGATAGCAGGAGTACAAAAACAAAAATTTACATGTATTTTGTTTTTGCTTTGGCGGCATAAACTGTCAAAATCTGTAAGAGTGTGTGTAGAAATTCAAACAAAATTTTTCAATTTGAAATCAGAAGCCGTGCGGCGAAACACATACATAAAATCAGCTGAGCTAGTAACATTTACTTATATTAATTCGCCTTGAAAGTGACTTTAAAAGTTTTTATTCCATTTTTTTTTTTTGTTAATTTTATAATCTTCTTTTTTACAGTTATGTGTATTGTATATACATTGGGGTGGTATATAATTGAAATTTGTATGCTCTCACCCACTAGGATTGTTCTGTTTTCTTATTTTCAAATCAAAAAGTAGATATTCTCTTGTGCGTTCACCTTTACCCGGATTTTAATATAGGCTAGCACTTGCGTGGGCTTTTTGTTCCATATATCGAATGCATTAAGTGTTATACTACCTAGCTCAGTGAGTCTGCGTCTAGCGAGAGCAACACATTAACAAAGGATGTATTCTGGCTTTTCTTCGTCCATCTCACAGCACCAAGCGCAGGGAACAATGTCCCATGAAGTACCCAGTGAGAGTTCGAATGTCCTGCCTTCCTAAATTTATAAGTTTTTTTGAAGCTTCTTGTGAGCGACAGGTGAACCGCTTAGCTTGTTTGTGCTAGACATTCACTCCAATGAGTATGGAATTTTTTGTCCACCCACTTAACCTCCCTTAAGTGTGTTTCTGTGAACCCACAAAAGGGTTCCGGGCCATGGAATATTGTGGTAACACGCGGTCCACCTGGTCGTTGCCATTGTGACCCTCATGCCCAGCACCCAGCCCAGTAATATTGTGTTCTTGATTCTAAGAGCATTTAGGGTGCTGAGGCAGTCGTTCACTAGTTTTGATGTTATTGTGTGGAACTTCAGCACTAGAAAGGCCGCCTGACTGTCCGACATAATGCAGATGTTTTTGGAAGCTTCGCCTCTTCTGAGGAGTTCTCTGTCACAGATCTCTATCCCATGAATCTCCGCTTGGAAAATTGTAGGGCACGCAGTCCATTGTTATCGATATTTTAAAATTTTACCCAAATATACCAGCTCCAGTTTTTCCATCTTCAAGTTTTAATCCTTCAGAGTACCAATCTTCGTTGTTGTTGTTGTAGCGGATACAACCACCCCGACCAGATCGGTTAATATCTCAGTCGTTGTCGTCAAGTTTCACTAACGGTAGCCCTAAGAAGCGTGCAGCCTCAATAGGGTCGGTCCACAGGGACAAAGGCGTTAGGGTTGTCGGGTTTTGCGGGCATACGAAGAGATGTTTCGAGTCATGGGGTGTCTCTCCGCATGCCGGACACTCATTTGGTGCATCTGCGTTTAGTCTGCTCAGGTATGAGTTTAACCTGCTGCAGTAGCCAGAGCGAAGTTGGGCTATTGTGGTTCTAGTCTCCCGAGGCAGATGAAGCTCCGTCCCGTCAATGTCCGGTGGTTGTGCGCCTAGAATGGCATTCACAGGTCTGAAGTCTACATAACTAGGGACTGACTCCCTGTGAATACCGTTCAGGGCCTGCTAATAAGCTGACGGGTCCAGAGGTTGTTTAATGAACCTCTG